CCCCCCCCACACACACACACACACACACACACACACACACACACACATTCGTTTTCAGTGGCAGTGGGGACGCCCAATCTTTCCAGCATTAGCTATAGTACGCAGATGTCGTAACTTGACAAGCCAACAAAAATACGCACGTCCACGTCTCCTTCCACGCGCTCGGATCGCATCGTTTTCGAATGATTTAGTGGCACGTGTTTCGTCGATCACTGTTTTTCGAGTTCTTGAAAACTCGAATACCCAATTATGCGACAATGCCTTCGCAAAGCAGACCGAAAAATCACGTATTCCTTACTTTATGTGCAAAATAGAGCGAGAATTATTCAACGATATGCAAGTCTTATTTCGCTAGATTCGTCTTTATTGTAATAACTATTTATATATATATATATATATATATATATATATATATAAAGTCAGTCATAATATAGCGAATTCTTAATAGCAAACTATTAAAGCGTAAAGTCAACTCTTGTTCCAATGGCCATAATAAATTGATATACATAATTACGTAAAAATGCATAAGCGCGCGTATATCAATGTGATTTGTTCAAGATGCTTTGTCAATAGCAGCAATTAATCTTTCTCTTAAAATATAATTATTCTTATAGGTGGTGCTGTTTGTATGAGTCAACAATCTTTAATTGATATCCGATTAAATAAAAATGGCTCTGTGGAAGACGGGCGTTGCTATTAAATCCAATATGACGTTGAAAATTAGTCATTTTCAAAATGAATAATACTTTACAAAATGCACAATTTTACTTGTAGATCAAAGCAATATCAAATTACAAACTTTTAAACATAAATAAGAATTTTTCAACAAAACATGTGCTATTTTTCACGTATGCGTTAAAGTAAATAATTTGCATTAACGCGTTATTATAATGGTATGAGGCAATAATGACTAAATAATAGTGGAACATAGTTCTAGTGACAAAAAAAAACAAATTGTGAATTTTATGATTAAGCCCCTTACATTTCTAATGTTTAATACTTATTTTAAAAATAGAATTTTATGCTAACGGCGGTGCACTCGTAATAAACTGATTATCTATTGAACGGTACTTTCGAATACTTAAAGACGAGAATTTGATAATTAAATGGTTGTTTATTAGCTTTAAGAATATTAATTAACAACTAATTCCGAATTTACTTATAGTGGAAACTGTTGGGCTGGGAAAACAATAGTACTTACTTATTTGTAAATATAGTAAGCCATAATTAATAAACATATGAATACACCCAACAGTTTCCATTAAAGAGAACTAAATACTTATATATTGGCAAGTTCTAATCGAGCGACATAATTACACTTAAACATTTACGGGGATATTAAATTCAACTTGTTTATCTACAACTTGAACTTAATTTATTTACACTTATTTGCACAAGCGGATATAGAGTATGAAAAAGAAAAAAATCCATTCACAATCATATTGCAAGCTTAGGGATATTTATTAGCGTCTATTTCTCAACGTAATTACATAAATAATAAATTTTGATAACATACAATTAAATTCATAAAGATTTCGTTCGCCAATTTTTATTAATAATTCATTCATGCGATAGTTTTACCGAAAATAAATTTAAATGAAATTTTGCAATTCAAGGCGATATTCCTTTCTAATCTTATATAAATACGTGACAAATAGAATTCTATAAATTCAAACGCTCATTGTAATTTGTCCATTGACAATATTTACTTGATAATGGTTTAAAAAAAAAGCAAAGAAAAAAAAAGCAACAAATTATCCTACTTATTATCCACTTATAGATTTCCTCGAAAATCACAAAAGCTTATTTCTCTTAAGCCCTCGAGTCCTAAGCCTTCATACACTTCATACATACAAAGTTTATAAAAATTTCTGTGAGAGTATTCCCCGCCGAGTGCGCGAGTGCGCACGCACACACAAAGATGTTAAGTGAGCCTATTGTTAGTACGGGAGTAGAAAGGGTAGAATAGAGGCTTGTCACGAAAATGTCAAACTGCATTTGCATTTGGGAATCGATGATGGGAATTTGAGGTGGGAACGAGGAGGTCCATAGATGTTCCGAACAGAAGCCTGAAAATTCATGAAGCAAGGATTGACGCTAACCCTCGGAACGGGCATAACATGTGGACAGTCACGTGACAGTTAAGACTCTAACCTGGGACAGGTAGTATCTCTCCTCGCGCACCTCATCGTAGTGGTCGCGGACTGGTGCGTACTGCGACGACGGCAGAAGGGAACTCGTGTAATCGGTATCCTCGAGAGCCAGCGGAGGCGGGATCGGGCTCTTGGGTAACACAGGCGTCGTCATGTGCGCGCCCTTCATCCTATGGTCCACCCCCGACAAAACACACACATTCACGGTTAATGAGATATATGAGTGGACGCGCCGCGGGCTGTCGGAAATGAGCATGCGAGGTTATCGGTAGGGGAGGATCGGTGGCATGTAATCGGCTGGAGACGGCTCGATCGTCGAGTGGATGACATTCCGAATCCACGAGTTCGCGCGATAGTCCAGGGACCTCGTGGTTACGAGGCGCAAATAGTGACGAGTAGATCAGCGATTGGGCAAGACATTATTAACGAGCGTTCGGAGGACGAAAGCTTTACGAGCTTAAAACGATCGGCGATGGGCTAGAATGCGTATCGCGGATCTGGACCGGAACCATCATATAAAAACAGCCCATTGATCGGTGTCAAATGGATGTGAATTCGCATTAACGCACAGCGCGTTAACAACAACTCGTTTGGCGTATCTTTTCATTAAAAGATGGGAGCTCGTAATTTATATGATAACACCCGCCGATCTCTTTTACCCCTCTCCCCTATCCCCTCTCCCCTCACCCCGCCCTCAAATGATTATTCTATATATTTAAAAGACTCGACGCGGGTTTAACGCGCGCTTAACGAGGTCTTGCATAAGTAGTCCCCGGAAATGAAACTGGAAATGCGACTGGATCGGCTGTCCTTTTTTGCTAAGGATGTTCCGCACGCGTCTATCACGTAATTCGGCACTATTACAAACTTGGGCATCGTCGGTGCTGAATGATTGCGAATGACTGATGCGTCTGATCTCGGCGTGAATGACTCGGACCTTTCGATGGCCAGCTTTACAAATTCGGAATTTTTCAGGAGATTTTGGGCATCTACATGCCTCAGGTCGCGCACGTCGTATTCGTCGATTTTCTTGATCACGTCACCCTTTTGAAGATCTTCGTTCTCGGACTGCAAAGAAGCAAAGTAAACGAGCAGCGTTACATTATTATTCTTCCGTATCGTCCTCAATGGTGCTTTAATAGTAAATAATTGCTTGGGTATTTCGACAATTGAAAGAAATGTTTAAAATACAGGAATAACTCATTTATGTGTACGGTATTTGGGGAGTGATATTTTGCCCCCCTTCCCTCCCCCTCCCACCCCACGACCGCTCGCCCGCCCGCCCTCCCGCAACACCGTCAAGAATGCAGCATGCGAATGCAGCAAGAAGGGCTGGCAATGCGGATATTTTGTGCTGGTGTGCTTTAAATACGTTTGAGAGGGCGAATTAATGGTCTTCGACTCATAAAGTTACGATTTTTAATGTATTTAAAGTATTTTTTAAATGACATTCCTCGATGCCCTTCGCTTGCACTGTTATAGATTCCAAGTTAAGACTGAATAAGCAGAGAGATAACAAAGAATAAAAGCTTATAAAGTCGTAAATTAAATCTGCATTTCTTATTTAATTATTAACTGACGATAAAGTCACAAGTGGAAAGTATTTTAAGATTTTAAATTACCTTTTAGAAAACTTGTATGCTCATTGAGAATTATTTTGTAAGGCAATCGAACGGTTAACTTTTTAAATTTTGAGTACTGGCAAATCTCGATAATAATTATTATTGCTCCGTAACTACAAATAGCCGTCCTTCGCGAGAGAGAGAGAGAGAGAGAGAGAGAGAGAGATTATTAATTGACCAAAGTATTTGGTGGAAAACAAATAAACTATTTCGTCACAGGCAAGTTATTGAAAAAACTCGAATATTTTGTCTTAATACGTCCAATGATTATCAGGTCAATGATACGATATAAATACTTAATTACCTTGCCTCAATGAAAATTACCAAATACTCATGAATTCGGTTCTCTATATCTAACGCATTTTTTTAATAGTGTAATCAATGAATATTATAAATAAATACTTTTTAAAGGTTATGAATAAAAGCTTATGATGACTGTATTCTTAAGCTCGATAAATGAAATTGTTTATTTCTCAGTCTTCAATGTCTCAATTATTTGCAATTTTCAATAGAATATTTTACGCGTAAAAATTCATTCATTATGCCTTTATTATTCGCGTTGCTTATTTTCACTTTCTTTCTACTTCAACATTCCGTGATAATCCTTTTAAAGACCTTTTTTCCTTTAACCGAACATTAATAAAAATGCGCCGAAAATTCGTAAAGATATTCGGTCGATTTGTTCTACATAATGTTTATTTTCGATAGGAGGCCTTATTTTAAAACGATTTAGAAGCGATTTTACAAATAGATATATTAAGATGCTACGAGCTTACTTTCGACATAATAAAATCGTCGAAAAAGGGAAAATATTAAAACCTTGAGTTTTATATTTTTAACGTGGGACTTGCACGCGACAAAAAACAACTCCGATGGTAAAGCAGGTGATAAAAGCAGCCCATACCACTTTATGCCCAATTTTCCTGGGCATGACGCAAAACTTCAAGCTCTCGCGAACCTTATATATGAATATAAATATACGCTAGTGTCTTTCGAGTGCCCGTGAACTTTTCCCTGCCCAATAGTTAAAAATTAGGGATGTCGTGATTGGGACTCACGCGGGTGACGATCAAGGGCGTGTCGAGATCGGAGCCACCGGCGATGCTGATACCCCAGGGCACCTTCCTGCTCGGCCTCCTCAGTTTCACGGTCAGCGTCTGGCACTTGGTCATCGTGAGGGCGATCCTGGTGTTGCGTCGATACAGGGGTCACTGGGCGATGCGTTAGGATCGGCCTAACTTTGACGAACCTTAGGCGGCAATCACACCCAGCCAACTCTCGGCACTATCTTGCGCCTTGGGCACGCGAGCCGCTCGAAACGCCTCTCTCTCTCTCTCTCTCTCTCTCTCTCTCTCTCTGTCGAAGGAGAGGACGAGCGGGGAGGGGGTGGGGCTGCCACTGTACCCTCTGCGATTTGGCCCCATTTCCTATTGGCATGCTTGTATTGTCTTCTGCTCCTTTTCGCAGCCGACGCCCTACCAGCTCCGCTTTTCTCTCTTTCGCTCTATTCCCATCTTTACCCACCCAATTCCCAAAACCTATCGCACTCGTACGTCACACCGTAGCGCTTAATATCACAAATCATCGGATTTAGCTTTCGTCGGCCTTGCACCAACAACCTCCCTACCACTCGTCTAAATGCATCCTCCTTTAGTTTCTACGTTACACGATAATAATGATAACGACGATGACGAGGAAAATGAGATGGCTATGGTAATAATTCGAACTATTCTCTTTTCGCTTTCCTCCCTCATCCCTATTTTCAATCTTAATAATAACACTAACAATAACAACAGTAATAATAATGCGTATTATTATTATCATCATTTTTAATTTCAAACGTGTAAGTTGTGGCTGTAATGTGTGCTTCGTGCATCAGAAACTTGCTTCCCGTATGAAAAAATGTATACGCTAGAAGAAATTAGAATAGGAGCTTAAAATAAAACGATAGACGATCCTTGTTGTGAATACTCGATCTCAATGGCTTTGGCTTAAAAGACATTTCTTACAATTCGTTCGATCGAACAATCGAATTTTAAATTCAATCATATTGTTTAAACGTATCGTTAATCCTATCGAATTTTACCTACTCTATTATAAAATAAATACATAACGTAGAGATGCAGGAGGAATGGAAATTTATCGAAATTAAATTTCCTTAGACGCAAATGGATGATAAAGGTGATGAGATTCAAGTAATTTAAGACTGAACACGTAATTTTTTTTTATGTTTTTTTTTTTTTTTTTTTTTTTTTTTTTTTTTTTTTTTTTTTTTCAAGTTTTCAGGGGGGGGGGAAGGGGGTTTTTTTTTTTTTTTTTTTTTTACAGACTTGCAGAGTCGTGGATAAGGGTTTGCGCGATGGAGCCAAGTAGGTACTTAAGCCACTGATAATACGGGACGAGACCCATCCATCCAGACGAGTGCATTATATATTTTGCAGCAGGATTGTATGGCGCGTGGATGTAAATATAGAGCGAACGAAGGAGAAAAGAAATAAAAGAAAGAACCAATTGAAGACATTGACTCGGCCTATCTTGCAGCTCTCTCGCTCGCTCGCTCGCTCGATCTGTTATGCATGCACATATTTAGTACCAACTGTTGGGTTAATTTCGTTGGGCGCACCTCGACTTGGAAAATCGAGGAAATAAAGGGAAGGGATGAGGAGGGGTATGGGGGTAGGGTCGCGCCGAGCATGTAATACCCTCGCGCCTCTACTTACGTAGGCTTCGTAATAGTTGCCGATCGAGAATCTCAGCGTCATATTGCCGGTTATCGGACGGCGTTATCGAACCTCGTAGCCGAGCTCCCTCGGGTTCTCCAGCGCTGCGGGCAGGAGATTGTGGGCCGGGGCTGTTGGGAAGTGCCGTCGGGCGCGGGTAGTAGGAACAAAGATCCGATCCGATCGATTCGAAGACTTTTCCTCGTCTCTCGAACCAATAACCCTATGGCCGGGGATCGAGCATCCATTAACGAGCATGTGTGAGTCCAGCAGCAAGTGTGTGCGTGAGACGGAAAGGGACACGACAATTGACGGGCGGCCGGGCCGGGGGTAGAGAAAGAGAGAAAACGGCCGAGGTAAACGGAATGCCGGAGGAAGATGGAGAATGAGGTGGCTTTGCGTGTGAGAGTGAGCTCTGCGTGCAGACGCTCGATTTCGAGACTCGAATTAGCAACCGAACTTCGATCTAGAGCCAATCTGCACGGGTTTTCTTTTTTTGCGCTTCTGCGATGCTGTTGGACAAGGAATTCGATGCATTTGCATGCTGTCACCGAAAGCGCGTCCTCTTCGTCGTCGTCGTCGTCATTGCAATCCATACACGATGATCAAACTTTTTTAAACTAACAGATACAATGATCGAGAATCGTTACTGCACAGTACGCGTTAATGTTTAATCGATTGTGATATTATGCTAGATTTGAGAGAGAAAAAATCCCATAAATTTATAAACTGTCACTTATTTATATTTCGCAAATATCTTGAGGCAATGTTTAATCATAATTCGTTGCCTCAAGAACAACAGAAATATATGATCTGTCATTGACATTTAATGAAAAAAGTCAATGACCTAGAAATAAATTGATATATCGATCCGTCAATGTTTCAAACCTGTGTCCAAGAATTAACATGATGATAAATGACACCTGACAGTATGATCCCTCATTTACACATGTGCATCTATATATATATATATATATATATATATGAGACGCTAAATAAATCTGGTTTTGAGGATTTGTTTATGCGTTTTATAAGCATCTTTCGGGGGTAAGTCCGATTTTACAAAATAAAAAGACCAAACGAATCTCTACGAATAGTCCGTTTTTATTTGTACATGACCGATACGCATTCGTTAGTTTTATACGAATAATTTTATATAAATAAGCTCGGTAGCACGCCTCAAGTGCCTTTTAATGTAATTGATTAAAGAGAAAGAAATAGAAAAAGAAAAAAAAAAGTAATAGAATATAAGAAAATTTTTTATTATTTTCCAGTGGTTAATTTATCTGCGCATCGTTGTGCAAGGTTATCTTCATTATCTCCGTTAAGATCACATAATTCTGTCTACACAACGTCCAATCACATAGCAATAACTCATTAAGCGTATTCTTCGGTAACGGCTCGGCCAATCACCATCCGTCGAATTTCGCTCGTCCCGGCGCCGATTTCGTACAATTTCGCATCCCTCAAGTAGCGACCGGTCGGGTAATCGTTGATGTATCCATTGCCACCTGAAATTATAATTGCCACCTGAAATAATTTATTCCGAGGCCGCGTGTCCTATATTATTAAACGAATGACGTTACCAAGTATTTGTATGGCATCGAGGGCGGCTTTCGTTGCGTTCTCGGCGCTCAACAAAATAGCAGCGGCGCAATCTTTCCTATTCGTGTGGCCTTTGTCGCAGGCCCTCGCCACCGAGTACACGTAACACCTGCTGGAACTTAACCTGCTGTACATGTTGGCTATTTTTCCCTGCACGACGAAATGAACATTAACACCGAGTGACGCGTATGTGGCCTATACGTACTTGTATGAGTTGAAATTCGCCGATGTTTCGACCGAACTGCTTCCGCGTGTGCGCGTACTCGAACGCCACATCGCAGCAGGCCTGCATGATTCTGAAATTTATAGTGAGAATGTAGAGAGGTCTAATGGCAGTCTACTGACAATCTACACTGGCAGCCAATAATATAAATATTGCCAGCAGGCTGTTTTGCCTCATTTTTCATCCCTTCGTCTTGCAGCGATTGCCACTCGAAAGCCCAAAGCCCTTCGCCCATTCAATTGCTTTTAAAGCGTAATGTCTCTTACCCCAGTGGACCAGCGGATAAAACGAGCCTTTCCAAATCCAGCCCGCTGAATAGTACGTAGACACCTCTGTTCTCCTGTCCGAGTACGTTGGCCGCTAAAGCGAGATAGTTACGAGATTGATCGATGCCGTTCGCGGTAGAATTGAGCGTCGAATAAGGGATTGTTGTCGACCTTACCGGGGATCTCGCAGTCCTGGAAAATGAGCTCGCAGGTGTTGGAGCCCCGCATACCGAGCTTGTCGAGCTTCTGCGCCGTGCTGAATCCCTTGGTTCCCCTCTCGACGATGAATGCCGTGATACCGTGCTGCTTCTTCCCGGAGCCCGAATCCGTCCTCGCGTACACGACCAGGACGTCCGCATCCGGCCCATTGGTTATCCAGAACTTGTTGCCGTTAAGGATGTAACGATCGCCTTTTTTATCCGCCCTTAGTTTCATGGAAACAACGTCGGATCCGGCCCCGGGCTCGGACATCGCCAGGGCGCCCACGTGATCGCCATTGCAAAGCTGAGCACCGTAACGTGACGATGAGTTAATTGGTGTGGGACGGGCCGAAGATAACTTAACTTAACACAATAGAGAGGAGCCGTGATTTTTCATTTATATGGGAGTAGATGCGCCGAAACTATTCCTATTACACTTTCCTGAGTGACTGGTAAACGAGGAGATAACTAGGACATGGAAGTTTTTTTTTTTTTTTTTTGAAACAACCAACGATCACCGTCTCCGTGATAAAGTTTATATATAATAGAGCGAAGGTAAAGTTAACGACGACGACGACGACGACGACAACGACGACTTGAACAATTTAATAGAACTTGTACAATTAAAATTAATAATTTCAATTATTATTAAAGTGGACTAATGAAATGAAAAGTCATAATTCTATTGATACTGCGAAGGCTTTATGCATTGTACATTATAAAGATATAAAGCGAAGTGTCCATTACGATTAATCAACGCAATAAGGAAATTTACGCGACGATAAAATATTTGTCATCGACTGATGTATTTATATTTCACAAAACACTAGTTATTAATTTAACAATTTATAAATAGGACATTACTGAGATAAATTTCAAACGTAAATTTTTATTTTGCCAGTGATTTTGCTTTGATTTGCAACGAGTGCACAAAAAAGCATGCGACTCAACCGAACTCTGCTCTAGTCGATAAATTCAAGTGTAATGAATAAAGACTTTCGAAATGCTGTGATTTATTTAAAAGAAAGAGAAAGAAATTAATATTAATTATCCACGACTACTGCAATTTAACTGCAATACTTTATCGATGTTGTAAATTAAACACAAAATTCCACTGTCAAATGATTTACCGACATCCATCTGAGCGACAAGAGACGATGACTCGTGTCACTAATTACGCAAGCCTATTCATTTGTAATTGAAAAACTTTTGAATTATTTTACCGTATTATAAATGAAATATTCAAATACTTTTATCCGTCAATCTGAATAATTTAATTAGTGCAAAATATACACTGCCGATAGATATTTATGTAATATTTTTGTTAAATTTTCCCATTCTTACAATTACATTTCGCTTTTTCTTGACAATCTTACAAAACATTAAGCCTGGTATTCCTCACTTTTTTTTTCTTTTAATTTTTTTTTTTTTTTTTTTTTTTTTTTTTTTGTCTTGTTGTTCACGTAAAGATAAGTTAATAATAAGCTCGTCATACAATTTCCTTTCAAAATACAGCTAATGCGAAATACATCGAGTGCGTGAAATCATCGTGCACACATCTTATGAACAATTTGGCAAATAAGCCGTTCAAGCCCTTGTGCACAAGCATAATAAAAAAATTAAAAAATAAAAAAATAATAGGAAAAACATTATAAGAAGCTCGATAGCCGCTATACAGCCTTTATAAACCGAATGTTTATTACTTGAAATGTAAACGGGCGCGACTCCGCTCTATTATGTTGCCTCTGTTATTTTCACTACAAAAGTCTGGCTTTAATTGTGTCCTTGAGGAGTGACGGTACTTTTGGCAGGTATTTCTGTTTCTGCTCCTCGCTGCCATTCCGATGAATTTGATTGACGCAGAGATTCGAGTGAGCGCCGTAGCTCAGCGCTATCGATCCGGACGCCCGACTCAGTTCTTCCATAATGACGATGTGGTCGAGGTATCCACCAGCGCTTCCTCCATACTCCTCTTTCACGGTTATACCCAGTAGGCCAAGGTTCCCGAGCTCCTTCCAAAACAGCTAAGGAACGAACGCTCTATTAGATATTAACGCATCTCATTTTTCCTCTCACAATGATATATATATATATATATATATATATATATATATATATATATATATATTGCAGTATTGTATGGCGGGATGGTGAACAGGGGCAGGGAGAATGAAGGAAGCGAAGGAAGGATATTTGGTCGCAGTTAGATTGGCCACGTGGCTTTTACATTTAATTGCTTTGCGCAATCAATCAGAATCATGATAGTTAATTTATTTTTAACTAAAGTGTATATTAAGAAAGCTTATTATCGTGCTATTTTCCTTCTTTAATTTATCTTTTATTTTACATTAAATAGATGTTCCGATGAAACATATTGGATTGAAGTTAATGATAAATGAAATTTTTCTCATCGAGATAAAATCCTCTTGTAACTCAGCCTATTCTATCTGAATTTAATTTCTATAATTTCTTAAGCATTTCGCATAAAGTTTTCAAAATTGTGATATATTTTACATTCTTTCCTAGCATCCAGATCATTACTTAGGTTATAAATAAAAATGTGATTTCGTTTATTTAAACGTGAAATTAAAATGGAAGGCAAATTTATAAGTTATAGAGCCAAAAGTATTTATATTATGTTTCGATTTATAATTAATAACGAGTTAACAAAAAATACTAACAAGAAACACTTTTAATCAATATACGTTCTTCTTTTACAATTTGCTAGAACTCTTCTTGAATTTCTTATCGTTCTATTAACACGAAGAAACGTAATTCTTCACATTTTTTGTCTGAATTAAATTCTTAAATACATTATAGATATTATCATTACAATAATATTTTAGAAACGCCTAAGTTTGTTTTATTGCACCGATTCGTTTCCCTGGGCAATTCTTCATAATCTTCATAATTGCAACATACAATTACATATTCCGATTATAATCTACTGAGGTTTTGTGTTATGTAAAAAATTAAAATTACTTTAAGTTAATTGATTTTACATCTTTAATTCTTTAATTTTACATTTTTTTTTTGTTTTTGTTTTTGTTTTTTTTTTTTTGATTTTTGGTTTTTGGTTTCTCAATTAACTAAACTTTTTTTTTGTACGAGAAGTTTTTATGTTTTATTATTCAAGTCCAAGGTTATGTGACCAAACTGAATCTCATAATTTTTGAAAATTTAAATTATATTTTTATCTTGAATACTGTATTGAACGTTCAAAAGTATAATATAATAGTTCAAATCTATTTGAAGATTCAACAATATTTAATTATGCATAGCAATATTTTAAAACAAAAATGTTGACAAAAATATTGGCCTTATTCCAGGAGATATATATTATTTTAAATGTAAAACTTCACAAATTGCATACCAAATACATCCATTATTTAATTTATAAAACACTTGAACTTTAAATCATTAAAATATCTTGATATACATTTGCAGTTTTGTGCATACTGGATCAAGTCCAAATATAAAAAAAATTTCGACATTTATACTAAAATTATCATTTATATCGTCTAGCTTATTAAAAATGACACGTGTACGAAAATATATGTAGGATAAAAAGAAAATACACGTCTTCAGAAATCTATTTTATTCTCTCCTTTTGTAAAATTTTTTATAATACATAAACAAGAGTCAATAGGATTCTAATTAATTATTATATAAATATATAATAGTTATTGATGTAATATTCAATATGAATATATTATAACAAATAAATAAATCAAAAGTAATTAAATTCGTACTAAAAATGTTAAATCTATTTTAAAAAAAAAAATTTGAAAAGATTCCAGTTAATGATACGGAATTTAAAAAGTAACTAATGCCAACTAACAAATGTTTTTTCCTAGTAATAAATTTTTGTTTTTTTTTTTTGTTTGTTTTTTGTTTTTTTGTTTTTTTGTTTTGTATTATTAATAAAGAATAAAAGTTTATTTTTGCCAAAATTTTTGCATGCTTTTGAAATTGTAATAAATTGCGAAATAAGAGCAGCTTCTACCGTGGTACTCGCAATAACTTAATAAATAACTCAAATTTAAAAAATACTTTGATTTATATAAGATCTAAATGTAGTGCGGCTCTGCAGTGACCATAATTCTCAATCTAAATCGTTGAATAAATGTATTGGATATTTTTAAATTCATGTATTATTGAATGAAAAATCAGGATTGATTATAATTTGAAGTTTTTTTTTTGTTTTTTTTTTGTTTTTTTTTTTGTTTTGTTTTTATTCAATGTCAATATGACCGATTGACAAGCCTAATTATAGCTGTTGATTTATATATTTTTGAAAACTTAAATATTTATACAAATATTCAAATTCATGTATATATTTATTGAGATGTGAATTTACAGATAATCCAATAATTATATCATGAAAAATAAATCCAACGTTACTTAATAAAATTCAAGTCTTTGGTCTCTAAATAAGCACTTAAAATACGAATTTAAGTCAATATCTTGTTAGATTGTAAATATTATTAAAATATCAACTGCTGTTTAGTAATTTACAGTATATTTGAATTTTATAATGTTATTTTATTTACTTATTGTTTTGAATGTAGCGATATGACAAAGTTTTTCCTTATGTTATTCATAAAAAAAAAAATATATAGTTTGTAATAATTATTAAGAAACATGTGGTACTTCTTATCGAGGAATGTATAAAAGTAACCGTGAGCAGTCGTATACCTATAAACGAGGAAAGAAAATTTTAAAATCCAACATTTAATTAATTCAAATAGTAGAATGACTGCTCGGTAAAATTGTAAATTATTGCCACACTCGGGAATAAACGAGAAACCGTTATTTTGAATAATTGAAAACTTAAGAATGCTCGAACCTGTTACTCACTCGCACGTGCTCATAATGATCAATGACATGATGATTGATATACTCACTCGGAAATCGTCAAAGTAATTGTTCTTATCGATGTCAGCGGCCTTCGGCGCGAGCTCCTTTTGCGCAAAATTGAAAACCAAGTTTCTCAGCTACAACATAGAGAGACAAGGAAAGATTTGATAGAAGATTTAAATGGGAACGAGTTGGTGTTTGATCGCGTCGTTTTCGCGCTTAAAATATATAATGTCGAGTAAGTTGGGTGCAATGATGAATATCCGAATCGACATTTATAAAATATTGACCTCCTGTTGCTGCTCCGATAGCCCGAAGATGTTCTCGTCGATGGCGTAGTAACGCGATAAGGCTCTCGAAGGCTGGTGCCTCGGCATCCTCGTCCTTGCGAGGCCTTGGCGACGGCCCGAGAGCAGATCCAGGGCCCTGTGGAAGGTGAAACGCCTCATTGTCGATCCTCTCCGGTTTAAGACTGGAGCCACGCTCGGGCAAAACTATTTTTGGCTTAGCACCGATGATATGAGACTTGGGCCGTTACGTGTGTTTACTCACGCATGCGTATACGAAGGAGAGCGATGTGTTGAGCTCGACTAAGCTTCAACGTTACTGAACTTTGTCTTATCAAATCAAGGTCTAATTTTGAGTGGAAGGGGCCTCGCACGCTTAAGCGAGCTGTTATCAAATGTGCGTTATTCTAGATTTCTTCGATGTCTCTGATTGAAGTTCAATGAATGTTATTCACGTCGTTGACTCGACGATAATACTACTTTAAATCATTATTAATTATTCTTATGCAACACGTGCATCTCGTTAAGCGATTGCTTGCTTGCTAATCCCTGAATTTAATTATTAGACTGATAATTCCTCTGTTAATTAGTTTTTTTTTTGTTTTGTTTTGTTTTTGTTTTGTTTTTGAAAGGTAGGAAAATCATCATCATCATTACTTGAATGCATTGACAATTATCGATTGCGATATAAAAATGATTGAAGATTCGTTGTAGAGTTCTTTCGCAATTTAAGGTAGAAAAAATTTTTGACAAATTTTCTATATTCGTCTCTTTTAAATGTTACTAAATAAACGTTATAAAAAAATTAACGTTATAAAAAAATAAACGTTAAATAAAAATAAACGTTACTATTATCAAGTGAACAAAGTTACAAAAATTCGCATAGGAATCGAATTCGTTTAATGAGATAAAAAGTCATGATGAAACTTTTATTGCTGATATTATTAGAGAATTATAATTACTTTTAAACATCATCTCAATAAATCTTAAGCTATTTTATGCTGATAATTTCAGTGCAAATGCACATTTGCTACTTCGGCTTATTAAGAAATCCGCCGATAAAGTCATTTGCACATACCGTAACAGGATTGCACAACGGCTTTTCCAACATTAATTAAATTAAATTGCAATTTACTTCCGTATAGTTGATAATTAAAATAATGTTTATTAAATAAGTTGTAATGCAACGGCGTAGATAGAAAGTGGCAATGTGCCCAACAACAAAATCATAAATCAGCTCGTGACTTTCACTTTCACTATAATCTTCTATTATTTATGTTTTTGCGCGGTGTGCTAATTATAATTAATACCAGATCTATATACGTGAAATTCCATTAACTCAATTGAATTTGAATGCCTAAACGATAAATAAAGGATAAATTATATTTCATTCGTTTTCATCGCGTCATTTTTATCCAATTTTAATTAATCAAAATACCATTTGACACACAACCTTCGTTTAAGACATTTCAAATATTTAAAGAACAATATTCGTTCATTATCTAAGGTAGATTACGAAATTTTATTAAAATAATGTGCGTGGTACGCATTAAATTAAATTTTATTACACATTTCAAATGCAAAATTTATATGATATTTGCAGCCGGAAATTCGTCCATTTATTCGCTAATATACTCTATTATAAGTTTATTTATAATTTTAAATTATTTTTGAATTTAATATTAACCTATTTGTTAACAGATACATTATACTGAGCTGATGCACTACAAACAAAAATATTTTCTAAATAACTCTAATAATAAAGTAATTAGAAATAGAATCACTCTTTATAAAATAATGTTATAACTTCATATGCAATTAATTCAATAGTTTAAATATGGGAGGGTGGGGGAGGGGTGTGTGTGTGTGTGGAAATGTAATTATAAGCGTAAAAATAGTAACAATAAAAATAACACTAAACAAACTGTATAACAAAGTATTTATAAAATTACTTAACCAGAGTATAAAACGCAGATTCGTCAAAAATAAAAATAATAACATTGCAAATATTTGCCAAAAAAGTATGTACAAAAATGTTAGAAAGGAAACTAGGGAAGCTGATAAAATTCTTAATACATTGGTATGAAAGATTTTGTATTTCAATTTAATATTGAACGGATATTAAATTAATTACATACATTGAAAAATATAAAATGAAAAAATAGCTTGGACATTTTCGGTATAAATAAATATATAATATTAATTTTAAATCAAACGAAATAGACTATAATTATAAAGTATTGTATCAATGAAAATATCCTATGATAATATGTATAGGAATCTTTTGTGTTTGCCAAATAGAGAAGGGAAAGTAGCCTAAATATCAATGTATCTGGAAATTACAGTTTCTTTGAAAAATGTTTGTAACGCTTTAAATAACTTAATAAATCGATTATATTTCTTACTATTAAAAATAATCTATGGAATTTTTCATTTTTGGAACTTTATAACAACCGTGAATTATATATACAGTTATATTAAATGTATGAATCAATTAATCATAATAATAACAACAACAGTAACAACAACAACAACAACAACAACAACAACAACAACAACAACAACAATAATAATAGAATCATCGCTTACCTTTTCAATCATATAATTACGTCGACGTAATTTTAACTGCGATGGGAAAATCCTTTTTAAATTACTTTTTAAAATAATCTATCGGTGGATAGTGGATTGATTGCTTTTGAAAAAAAAAAAAAAAACAAACATCGAATTACATGCATTTATTTTCGACTTACTTGGTACCTTACATCTTGGAGCTTAACGTGTTATTTCGTGCATTAAATAATATTTTGTCATCGTAAAAAAACAATATTCAAATTTGCTCCAGAATGTCGAAAGTACAAACTATTCTTTAATGTCTGCCCGTGACTATTATTTTTATACACCTTCATTACCTTCATTTAACCAATTTACATGTATTTAAATTTAAAGTTGAATGAGGAAAAGAGTTATGGGAATATGATTATATCTAGATAGCAAGAGTGTATTTACAATTATGTATTTCGAATTAAGTGACAGAGAGATTTTCGTCGAAACGGAAAGCCGCGAGAGGCGTCGAGTCGTTGATGTCTAATTCCTACGATTACATATGGGAGGATCATGTATCATATTAATGATACGTGTGTTTATATATTTGTTTTAAAATATCTATGAAAAGATTTGAAATGTGACATTGTGAAAAAATTAGCAATCAAGATGGGTTCACATAAAAATTTCGATAGCATGTGTACTTTTAAGGTAGATGGTAAAAAATATAATAGAGTTGTACAACACATACAGGTTAGTTGAGGTTATAATTTTTAACAGTAATATAAATTTTATTACAATGTTTATTAAAATTTTGTAACATTTTGTCTTAGAATAAATGGAAACTTGTTCCAGCCTTTTTAAAGGGAAAGGGTCTTGTGAAGCAACATATTGATTCGTTTAATTATTTTGTTAATGTTGAAATTAAGAAAATCGTTAAAGCCAATGAGAAGGTTCTTAGTGACGCTGATCCATTGTTTTATGTGAAGTAAGAATAATAATTTTAATGCTATAAAGTAAGATTTCTTTGATGTAATGTTTAATGTGAAAAACCTCTCATTTAGATATTTGAATGTATCGATTGGAACTCCTGATATAGAGGAAGGTTTTAGCGTGTCGCGCCCTACTACTCCTCACGAATGTAGATTAAGGGACTTAAATTATTCTGCTCCGATTACAGTTGATATCGAATACATGCGTGGTCATCAGCCCATTATTAGAAATAATTTATTAATTGGCAGGTAACGCTAATGGAAGTTGATTTTTCACTTCTAAAGTAAATCAAAATGATGCTATTATATGCTTTTAGAATGCCAATAATGCTGAGGAGCTCGAATTGTGTATTGTCGGAGAAGTCAAATTTTGAATTAGCAAAGATGAACGAGTGTCCTCATGATCCTGGTGGTTATTTTATTATCAATGGACAAGAAAAAGTTATTTTAATACAAGAACAAATGCTAAGGAATAGAATTATATTAGAAGAAGATAGTAAAAATTGTATTATATCGTCGTGTAATAGTGCAACTCAAGAGAGGAAAACAAAAACAAATGTTATTGGCAGAACGGGAAAATATTATTTGCGTCATAATATATTTCAAGATGTAAGCAATAATCAATATTGGATTTATTATGAACGCTATTGCATTTGTAAATGGATTTTGTATTTATAATTTTATAGGATATACCAGTAATTGTGATATTCAAGGCGATGGGCATTGTATGCGATCAAGAAATTGTACAGCTTATTGGTACGGAGGAAAATTTCATGAAAAAAATTGGATGTAGTCTCGAGGAATGTCACGCGCTCAATATTTTTGCACAAAACCAGGCCTTAAAGTAGGAATTACTTATGCTCGTTAAATAATTATTGTATTATGTAAATAGGAAGCATGTTTTAATGTGATAATTTAGGTATTTAGGAAACAAGAGAAAACAAAAACGCTTTACAGTTGTGAAATCTAGTATCACAGACGAAATGAAAGATGTTTTAGCGTCAAATATCTTGAATCATGTTCCTGTGAGTGTTTTTAAAAAGTATTTACAATTAATTGGTATCCACATGTACATTATTAAGAAATGAATTTTCGATAGGTAATTGATTTTAATTTTAAATTAAAAGCTACATATCTTGCATTAATGATACGTAAGGTAATGATTGCCGAAACGGATGGGAAATTACTGGACGATCGAGATTACTATGGTAATAAGCGATTAGAATTAGCCGGTTCGCTATTATCATTAATGTTCGAAGATCTCTTTAAGCGCTTTAATTGGGAAGTAAGTAGTCTGATATTTATAATGGATAATAAAATCAATAAAGAGTACAACTTAAAATACATATTTCTGCAATAATAGTTGAAGCAAATAGCGGACAAGAATATACCGAAGATTAAAGCTGCTCAGTTTGATATCGTTAAGCATATGAGACACGATTTGATTACGAATGGATTGGCATGTGCAATATCATCCGTAAGTAACATTTGTTTGAATTATTACCATAAGTTTATCATAAGAGAGTTTTTGTTCGTCAAACTAGGGAAATTGGACAATTAAGAGATTTAAAATGGAAAGGCACGGCGTAACACAAGTACTCTCTCGCCTATCGTACATTTCTGCTTTGGGAATGATGACACGAGTGAATTCACAATTCGAAAAGACTCGTAAAGTATCGGGACCACGATCTTTGCAACCTTCCCAATGGGGAATGCTCTGTCCCAGCGATACTCCAGAAGGAGAGGTTAAAGCATACTTATTATTACTATCTGCTCGAATCGAGACAATGTTTCATAACTGTTTATTAATTGATGATTTTTACTTCTAACAGGGATGTGGCCTTGTAAAAAATTTAGCTTTAATGACTCATATTACGACAGAAATAGACGAAGAGCCAATAATGCGATTAGCCTTCAATCTTGGTGTGGAAAACGTAAATATTTTAGGTGGCGAGGAAATTAATAATAAAAATGTTTATATGGTCTTCTTAAATGGCAACATATTGGGTATTGTAAAGAATTGCTATAGATTAGTAACGGTTTTTCGTCTACTTAGAAGAAAAGGCTTGGTAAATCAATTTGTATCGATATATCCTCAACATCAGCATAGGTATTACATTATTATTTCACATATTTTTACATGCTCGCTTCACTTTGAATGCACAAGGTACGATTTATTGTAGATGCGTGCAAATTAGTTCAGATGGTGGTAGATTGTGCAGGCCATACATTATTGTCGAACTTTGTCAGCCTTTAGTTAAGGCGGAACATATAAAACTATTGGAACAAGGAGTCAGAAGTTTTGAAGATTTCTTACACGACGGTATAATATCCAATCCCCACTGACATACGTCTTATGTCCACGTATATACGTAATAATTGTTTGTTTATGTGCTTATACAGGATTGATAGAATACTTAGATGTGAACGAGGAAAACGATAGTTTCATAGCCTTCGATGAATCTCGGATAAAAGAAGGCATAACTCATCTGGAAATCGAACCCTTTACATTATTGGGTGTTTGCGCGGGCCTCGTACCTTATCCTCATCATAATCAAAGCCCTAGAAATACTTATCAGTGCGCTATGGGTAAGCAAGCGATGGGCACCATCGCCTACAATCAACGAAATCGAATCGACACTCTAATGTACAATTTGGTATATCCTCATGCTCCGATGGTGAAAACCAAAACGATTGAATTAATAAATTTCGATAAGCTTCCTGCTGGTCAGAATGCAATTGTAGCTGTTATGTCCTACAGTGGCTATGATATCGAAGATGCATTGATAATAAATAAAGCTTCGATAGACAGAGGATACGGCAGGTGTCTAGTGTATAGGAATGTAAAGTGTACATTAAAAAAATATGCTAATCAAACTAGTGATAAAATCATGGGTCCCCTTATAGACACTGTAACGAAGAAGCCAGTGTTGAAGCATGACATTATTGATAATGATGGTATCGTGGCACCTGGCGAGATGGTTGAAAATAAAAAAGTCATGGTTAACAAATCAACTCCATCTATGAATATAGGCCCCGTTAATGCGGGAAGTCAAGGACAAACGGAGTATAAGGAAGTCGCGGTGACGTATAAAAATACCGTGCCCGCGTACATTGAAAAAGTTATGATTTCTAGCAATGCCGAGGATGCGTATTTAATAAAACTTTTGTTACGTCAAACGAGGAGACCAGAAATTGGTGATAAATTTAGTAGTCGTCACGGTCAAAAGGGAGTTACAGGTAGATTGTAATATATAACCTGCATTTTATCGCTTTTCATGTAATAGCACTTAATGATGATTAAATTTAGGTTTAATCGTCGAGCAAGAAGACATGCCGTTTAATGATTCTGGAATTTGTCCCGATATGATTATGAATCCTCATGGTTTTCCGTCTCGTATGACCGTTGGTAAATTAATTGAGCTACTTGCTGGGAAAGCTGGCGTATTGAAAGGAAAATTTCATTATGGAACTGGTACGTTTACAATGTGTAATGTGTAACATTATTGAGAGATGAGAAAATTAAGAAGAAAAACATCCTTAAAAACCGAGCGTAATTTCATAAACGTATAAATATTTCAATCCGTAGCCTTTGGAGGATCGAGAGTAGAAGATGTTTGCGAAGAATTACAAAGTCAAGGATACAACTATTTAGGAAAGGATATGTTTTATTCGGGTTTAACGGGAGAGCCATTGCAAGCTTACATTTATTCAGGACCGGTGAGCTAAATCTAAATGAAATACTACAAAATACCATTCGACTTATAATGACAGAATATTATATAATATTATTATAATGATTAATATTTGTCCTAATCGTTATTATTCAGGTTTACTATCAGAAGCTCAAACACATGGTTCAAGACAAAATGCACGCTCGTGCACGTGGTCCAAGAGCAGTCTTAACGAGACAGCCTACCGAGGGCAGATCAAAAGATGGTGGCCTGAGGCTGGGAGAAATGGAAAGAGACTGCCTAATTGGATACGGAGCGAGTATGATGCTTATTGAAAGATTAATGTTATCGAGTGACGCCTTCGACGTGGACATATGCAACAAATGTGGCCTAATGGCTTACAGTGGCTACTGTCACAGCTGTCGATCCAGTGCACGAGTTTCTACAATCACCATGCCATATGCCTGTAAACTGTTGTTCCAAGAATTGCAGTCCATGAACATTGTCCCAAGATTAACCCTTAAAAATTACTGTGACTAAGCCGTCCGTCGATCAATAAATTTTGTTTGCTGCCAATAAATTAAATAAATGCTCCGACAATTCCGTATATATTTGCGCGCAGGAGAGACCAGTGATTAATTGCCTAGATCGATCGAGAGCCAGCAAATAATCATGTAATCGATCATAAGTTTAATCTAACCCTAGCCAATGTAATTGCTATGTAATAAATATAATTTTTTTTTTTTTTGCTAAAAAAAAAAATACCAAGTCCCACTAATTTCTCACCACCGCAATGTCGTAGTCAATGCATAAATCGTGGCTTAGCTACTCGAATTTCTCGGTGGCTCGTACGCTCCGCGAATTTAAATTTCGAAAGCAATTAACGAGACAAAGGGAATCAGGAAACGAACTGCTAGACCGCAACCCCCGTAAAATTTGCGCCCGGGAAACGCATGGAATTGCTTTCGAATGGGGATTTGGGAGTCGAGAAAGTCGCGTCCTCTCCGGTCCGCTCGAGTCTTAATTTTAGCAAATCATGTAAAACGTCGATTAATTTTTTCCTTTTGTTGGGCAAAGGAGCTCCTTCGGGATTTTGTCGAAGCTATCGGAGTGACGGAGCCGCCACGATAAAACGCGCGGGGAAATAACGAGATTGCCCGACGTAATTTACTTTGCGTCGGTTCCTCGGTCGATTCCAAATTTACGGCGCAAGCGATCGTCGTTCGACCGTGTTTTTCCAAAATCCCGGGGACGCGAGTGCTAGCACAGGAGAGCTAAACTTCCAGCGATGAGCTCCAATAACTCCCAGCCGCTTTTTGCGTGCTCCAGATGCTTTTCGAGGCATCCCTTCGAGGAGCTGTCGTCCGGACAACAACTGTGCAAGGTTAGAAAATCAGCAGTTTCACTTTCGCCGAAGCATTAACCTATTTTCAAGGTTACAACAATAACGACCGCACATTATATATATATATATATATTTAATTTAACCTTCCCAAGGAGAATGAACGATAAAACGAATTCGAATACTCGTTTTATGCATTATACGAGTGATAAGAATGATATTTTAGTTTGATTTTTAGAAAGCAATCGTTTCATTAGGCTCAAATATAATCCTATGCAATCATTTATTTATTGTTGAATCACGAAACTTTATCGATGTATTTTGTATTTATATTTACGTACACATTATTTCTATGTCTCTGTATTATTTATCACTCTATGCCTGTATACCATAAAGTTATTTTTAATTGTACAATTGTTTATTATAGTTGTTAAGTCAATAATAGACTTGGCATAAAAAGCTGTATAATTTATTATACATAAATTCGAAATCTCTTCAAAAAATTAAATTATTTATTCAGGAATGCAGAGGAACTTTTCCTGTGGTCAAGTGTACATACTGTAGGTCAGAATTTCAACAAACTATGTAAGTATCGATTAATATTATCGAGTATCGTATTAAATAAGGTATAGTGACTGTAAGTTCTTAAGTTACGTATTATTACAGGAAAGGTAATACAAGTACAATATGCAAAAAATGTGAACAAAACGTTAAAGCATATGGAAAACCATCGGCTTGCGAGTACTGCAATACAATTGCTGCCTTCATCGGAAGCAAATGTCAAAGATGTACAAATTCTGAAAAACGTTATGGTCCACCAGTTACGTGTGAACAATGCAAGCAAAAATGTGCCTTTGACAGACACGATGAAGATAAAAAAGTATTTAAAATTTATTCTCGTTTAACAAGATCGCTTTTCAATTCATGTTAACTTTTCTTTATTTTATTTTTGTTTTTCTTTTATCCCTCCCCCCCCCCCCCCCCCCCCCCCCCCCCCCCCCCCCCC